GGGGGGGGGGGGGGCAGGGGAGGAGAAAAAGAGAGCGAAAGGGAAAATAAAAGTGGCGAAGCGAGATGAATCGAGTTTTAGGAGTGCATTGATATTTTAACGAGAATTTCGTCATGAATTAATCCAAAAAAAAAAACCGTCGTTTTTGCTTTTCGAAATCGGGCACATAACGCCGCAAAAGTTTTTCAAATCATTTCCTCGTAGGTCCTTTGGGAATTCGTCTTGTTTTATCCTCAGTAAGGAGGCAGACATAAAAATAAAAAAATATATAATATACGCATAAAGAATAACGATTGGTTTATTTTTTTTTTTTACTTCACTACGGTGCATATGATTATAAAGCAATTTTAAAATTTTCAAAAATACCAATATTGTCAAGAAGTCGCGTTTGCCTTTTCCTAAAACAAATTGAAATTTACGAAAACAAGCTTAAATCCAAAAAACTTCTGCGAGAAGAAAGTTCGTAACAATTTGTACGATACAACAAATTTCAATACAAAATTCGCGCACCTGCATACCATCTATAGTTTTACAATAATTTACCGTACGTACTGTAAAGTCTTCTTGACTTTTGGCAAAGCGCAGGACTCTTCTTTTTTTTTTACGATTCCTCTTTTCTTGCTCGACACTATCGCCACCCACCTTTTCCACCCTTACGAGCACCAGAGAGAAAATCCTGCTAAAACGTTCCTTGGCAATGACCTGGCAATACTCTCTTCCTAAAAGTCCCGAATAATTATGTGTCTGGGTTGAGTTTCCCCAAGTTTCTTCAGATATATATATATATATATATATATATATATACACGTATGAATAATCCCGCGGGATAGCGAAGCTCGAAGGAAGCTCAGGAGCTGTGGAGACTAAGTGCGGGGGGAGGCAAGTTCCATCCCCCCCCCACCCCCGGGTAGGTAAAATACGCAAGTGCGTGACGGGGTTGGCAGACCTGGAGGTCCTGGTGTGCCAAGCGCCAGTGTTTATTTGCCTGTGGGTGTCTGCCTAAGTCAGAGACTCGTGCCAGAACCACGTTTCTCCCAGATTCCCGAGGGAATAGTCAATTCTAGCGGGAAGACCTTGTCAGAAAGATCCTGAAGAAGAACGGGTAAGAGAATCCCGAGAAGGATTAATGCGACCATTTTGCAAGGACGCCGTTGCAAGGACCACCGAAGGGACTCGTGAAAAAGTTTTTTTACCGCATTACTCTTCCCCTTTAGTTTTTTAATCTTACTTCTTTTTTTATTTCCTTTTTTTTTGTAGACAGTTGTTGCCCAATGAGCGGGGGGGGGGG